CCCAGGCGGGTCTCAAACCCACGGGCTCATGCAATCCACTCACCTCAGCCTCCCAAAGGCATAGGATTACAGGTTGAGCCACCGAGCCCGGCTAAACATTACATTTAAAAGAGCTGGGTGCAGTGGCTCACACCTATAGTCGCAGCACTTTGGGAGGCAGAGTGAGAGGACTGCCTGAGCCCATGAGTTCAAGACCAGCCTTGGCAATGTGGTGAGATCTCGTCTCTACAATAAAAATCAAAAAATTAGCTGGGCATAGTGGCACACGCCTGTAGTTCCAGGTACTTGGAAGACTATGGCAGAAGGATCACCTGAGCCTAGCAGTTGAGGCTGCAGTGGCACTCCACTCCAGCCTGGGCAAAACAGTGAGACTCCAATTCAAAAAAACAAAAAACAAAAAGAGAAAAAAAAGCGATACTAAATTTTTTTCTCTTACCTTCCTGAAACTACTTGATTATGGGCCGAGTAGCATTTCTCCAGTTAGGAAAGAGGACACATACGGTTGGCATCCTACATACTGGCTACCACAGTCTCTTAGCTCCTAATTATATGTTCTCCTACAAAGAAAGGACGCTCAGAGGACATGGTCTCTTCTTTTTTCTGGTTTATTTTATTTTATTTTAAAGATGTGAGGTACAATTCAGGGTTAGGTATACAAATGTTCATTGTGCAGGTACACTTGCTGATGAGGTGTGCCCCTCCCTCCCCTGGTAGTTTCCCTCAACTGATAATTCCTTTCTTATAGTATTATAATTGTTCAAGGTCCACTTATGAGTACATACAATACTCTGTTCATTGTTTCTGTGACAGATCACTGATTATGACTCTTCTTAAACCCACCTGCCCTCTAACTGTCCTACTTCTCTTTTGTTCAGTTGGCCCAAGACCACTCACTCCTGATGCAGGCAGCGTTCTCTTCAAACTGTTTGAAAGCACAACCGCTCTATCTTTCAGGGTTTTTAGCTACCTTGCCCGGCTGCTGTCATTAACAAGCTATTTTCATTCTGTGAAAACAGTTTTCATTTCAATACACACAAGTCTCACTTTACCAAAAGCAAATGAACAAAAAATTGATAAAGACATTTATTCCAGTAACAACATAGGTGTGAACTGACCTTGATGTCAAGAGACTTTTCTTAGATGTATACAGTTAGCATCTAACGCAGGAGATAGGGGTTTAAAGTCTAGTGAGATCTTACCAGGATTCTAATTCACCAAGAATCCCATCTGAGCTAAAATGTACGACAAAATTGTTAGTGACATGTATGCAAAGCGTGTTTATAGAAGACGGTGGGACAGATGCAAAGATGAGTAAAGACCATGCTCTAATTTTCGAGCGACTAACAATCTAGCAGTCTAGAGGCAGTTACAGTTAGCAAATGCAGGGTTGAGGGTTGAAGGAGGCATACAAATATTTGGAATGAATGCATGGAGGAGGATTTAAATGTTTTCAAGTAGAATACAGTAAGTCTTCGCTTAACAGTGTTGACAGGTTCTTGGAAACTGTGACTTTAAGTGAAATAGCGTACTGTATGCAGTAGAAACTTAACTCTTGTTTATATCAATTAATCCATGCTAAAATTGGTTTCATTACACAGTACATTGCATTGCATAAAGTCGCAGTTTCCAAGACCCTACCAATGACATTACATGAGGACATACCATCAGATCAAATGTTTTGAATATTGCAATTTTAGTTTTTCATTGTCAGCACAACAGAAGATTTTAGTAGCTGATGAAAACTCCACTTAAGCAAAGCAAAATACAATAATATGATATGTCAAAGTAGAAACCAAAAAATGGCGAGGATAGAAGACTTTAAAGAAAAGACATACTTTCTAGCTCTAACACTACCAAGGTGGCCACAACAGCAGCCCACTGGCCAACTATCAACTCTCATGCATACCTCTAGCACAGAGATAGGTCTCTAGAATGCATTCTGATCAGAGAAATCAAGTCCTTGGACAGGAGCTGACTGGATGTCTTGGATTAGGGAAACTCTGAACCACTTTAGAAGACTTGTTGCTTATAAAGCAAATTTGCTTCCAGAGATTTTAAAAGTAATACTAAAAAGACAAAAGACCAGCTTAATGAGACTGCCAGGGGCTATGCCATGACTATTTGAATACCAGAAAGAAAATCACTTAGTGAGTAATTAAAATTAGTTGAATTTTAATCTATAATGATACTAAAAGGAGAAACGTTATTGTTATGTAAAAAAGTAGTTATAATGCAACAGAAATGTGAATATAATAGTGTGTACCTTATATTTTATTAATTTTGATGTGTAGGAGAGTTAACATCAAGACACTTGAGTCTTTTATTAAGCTCATGTTCATTTATTAAGCAACACTGAACATTTTTTTCTTTGTGTGTGGAAGTAGAAAGCGGTTCATGAAAAGAATTGCCAGTAAAGCATTTATATTTCTAGAAAAAGTAAGAACTGTGCTAAGAATAGGAGTGAAGAGAAAAGTTAAACCTACAGGGTTGCTTCTTTGGACTGGCAAGAAACAAAAAAGAAGAAAACTGACAAGTTTATTCACAAAACTGTATAAAGTAATAAGTCCTAAGTCTAAGTCTGTTGTCCAACAAAGAGCTATAGACGTTATGGGTAAGCAAATCACAAAGAATCTCCACACATACAGCATATACATTTCAATAAAGTGGAATTCAAATGATTAATTCTAAAGAAATCAAATTAGAAGGTAACAATATTGTACCTCTTCATGTCTTACCTTCTCTGGTTTAAGGTCAATGATGATGATGCATTTTGTTTGACCCGCTGTGCAGGTTGTGGTCCCTGACACGGACAGGAGTTCGTCTACCAGGTCGACCCCCTCTCTCTGGAGCACAACAGCTGTTTTGTTAAACGTGACTCTCCAGAAGACCTTGACATCTTCAAAGGCCCTGTGAGCAAAGAAAGTCCATTCGAATGCCTTCATAAAGGGTGCTATCCCTACATCTACTAGAGTAAGTTATCACTGTGCTTAACTGTACCTCCTCATCCTCGATACAATTTTCCTTATGTTACCACTAATAACACTGAAAATGACTCATTTTCCTCACTACAAATAAGAAAATTAAGGCTCGGGGTTTACATGGTATTCTTTGACTATGCTCTATTCAATATTTAAATATTTGTTAACCGCTCTGTATCTGGAATGCGGGAAACAAATAATATTTTTTTGCCTACTATGTACCAAAAATGTAAAAATAAAAATTATAGAGAACGCTTGATTTCAAGTAAATGCTCCTCATTTGTCATTTAACAAGAATTTTTCTAAAAGAAAAACACTTCTGTGAAGAAGGGTTGTTTTTGTAAATAATAAAGGGCAAAAGGTGACCTGCATTTTCACCTAACATTTAGGTCCAAAATGGAAAATGTAGCATATACACTGTGCATGTGTGTATACCAAGGACACATATGTGATGAGCTTTCAAAAGATGTGACTATACAGTCTTAGGTGGCTAGCAAAATCTTGGTACTTCAAGTCTCCCTCACAGCAAGCATGTGATGGATGCAGGGTGAGCAGATAACAGTAAATATGAAGTTGTGATGATCTGCATCATCTGACATATGTCTGGCACTTTATGAAATATACAATGTCAAGGTCACCCTCAGTTATGATCATAAACCAAGTTGGCACATCACAGATTAAGAAACTGAGTACCTAAACAGACATACCAAATTCTTTGTATGTTCACTATGTTCTTTGATCAGCATTTCATCTGGCCTCTACCATTTTATACATTCAATTAGATTCTGTATAGACATCTTTCATCTTCAATTTCTCTGTGTATGTATGTATGTATGCTATCCAGCTCTCTGTCTGCCATCTATCTATGCTATCTATCTATGAATGCATGTTATCTATCTCTCTCTATCTACTACCTCTCCATCTATCTCTCCATCTCCCTCCTTCTCTCCCTCCCTTCCTCCCCTCCTCTATTATTCTCTCTTGCTAGCTATCTACATATGTGCGAATGCTATCTCTATCTACCTACCTATCTATCTATCTATCTATCTATCTATCTATCTATCTATCTATTATCTATTTCTCTATCTATGTATCTATCTATCCACATACCTGTTTGGCTGCCTTGTGACATTAAGATGCAGTCTTCTTATACCAGCTCCGCCCCCAAGTTCAAGTCCACTCTGGGATGCCTCACTGAATCCTATGATGCCATTGTGAAGGTCACTCCCTGAAAAGAAGAATGTAGGGTTTTATTCATTTAGGAATTTAGAAGAGCTCTGATGCATCACTAATCTTGCCTGCTCGGATTGTATAAAAATGAGAAATTCACAGGTGAATGAGAGGAGTTATGATTTTTAAAAGATTTTTACTAAAAACAGTCCCATCGAGGTGGCTAACAGCTTGAGACTAGAAGAACAGAAGAAAGAACGCATCAAATCCCACGCCCTACCCTGACAAACTCATACTCATCTGTCTCTCATGAGACCCAACTCGACATTTGATAGTAGTTACTATTTTATATGTTTGTCTGTTTAAAGTATGTAAGTCCTACTAGAACAGCAGCTATTTACTGCTGTATTCCCAGCACCAAGAACAGTGCCAAGCATATGGCAAACGTTGAATAAATGAATTCAATTCACCTGTGTTACCTTCACATAAGAGAGTTGACCCAAAGACCTTTCATGCTATGCATGTAGTTAATTTGTCCCAAAATAAATCAGAACTGTTAAGGAACTCTCCTATGCATCTCTGAGTAGCAGAAACTCCTCCAACAACACTTGGGGTTACAGGTATCATCATATATATATTTCCAAGCACTGTGGCACTCACACCTGTAATCCTAGCATTTTGGGAGGCTGAAGTAAGAGGACTGCTTGAGGTCAGGAGTTCAAGACCACCCTGGGCAACATAGTAAGACCTCATCTGTACAAGCAAACTAAAAAAAAAAAAATTAGCTGGGCATGGTAGCATGCATCTATATTCACAGCTACTCAGGTGGCTGAGGTGGGAGGATTACTGCAGCCTAGGACTTTGAGGTTATAACAAGCTATGATTACACCATTGCACCCCAGCCTGGGCAACAGAATGAGATCCTGCTTCTAAAACAACAAAAAGTGTTTAAATTGGAATAAACCTAGGGCCCATGTCCATTGAAATCATGGCCAGCACATGAGCTAGCTTCTCTGACTACAGAAATACCAGCATACAGTTCCCTGTTTCTCTATGACCTAGCTTTGCTAAGTGATCCTAGAAGCAATGACCTTAAAGCAGTTATCCTCAAAAGCCACGTGTGCCCACCACCCTGAAGCCTGATTCCTGATGTTCCAAGGAGATAGCACTTCTTCAGTTAGGGACTAGGTCAGGTTAAGAAAACAGAAAACCACTCAACAGTCCTAAGGGAGAAGAGTTAATAATCAGCACTGGTTCCTTTCCCAGGTCTGGAGTGTGGGTCAATGTGAAATCCATTCAGCACAAACATGCCCATGATGGGCTACATCTGTCTTAGCAATCCATCTCCATCAGTCTACCAATCCTCACCCTCACCAATTAATCATTCTGAGTCTTGCATCAGACCCTAACACTGGCTTTTTCTTTGGCATTAATTTTTTCTTGCCACCGTGGGCAGGGCTTTGGTCTCTCCAGATTATAAGCTTCTCACAAGCAGAATCTTCATTTTCTTTTCCAAGGCACTAGCAACTAGCATGAGTCCAATGAAAATAACACTTTCCTTGCCACATCTAAAATAATACATTTGATGTCAAATTTCTATTAAGATGATTCCAGACTTCAAATGCACCAATGATCAAAACAATTTCTTTCTGATTTTGAAAGTTTGTTCTAAAATCTACATATGAAAAGGTTATAGATGAAAGATAAGAGTAACTGATTAAATTAATGGTTTAATTAAGTGAGAAACTTTTTTTTAAAAGCCAGGTTGGGGGCCATGGCTCACACCTATAATCCCAGCACTTTGAGATGCTGAGGTGGGAGGACTGCTTGAGTCTGGGAGATCAACCAGCCTGGGCCACATAGTGAGAGCCTTGTCTATACCTAAAAAAAAAAAAAGAACCAGGTAAAAAAAAAAAAAAGGTGAGGGGAACATTTGTAGACAGAATAAAAAGAAACTCAGGGTATTATGAACACCTGCTTGTGCCGGGTGGTGCTGTCAGGCGGTGCTGTCACAGTGGAACAAGCTCAGAGGGAGCTATGGAGCCCGCTATGGAGCCTGATGGGACCTATGAGCCTATGAGCCAGGTTTTGCGGGTATTTGATCCTGCCAGGAATGTAACAACATGCTGTATCCCAAGGAAGACAAGAGGAACCGCATTCTTCTCTATGCATGCCAGAATTGCGATTACCAGCAGGAAGCCGACAACAGCTTCATCTACATTAACAAAATCACCGCATGAAGTGGACGAGATGACCCAGATCATCTCTGACGTGTCCCAGGATCCCACATTGCCGCAGACAGAGGACCACCCATGCCAAAAGTGAGGCCACAAGGAGGTGGTGTTTTTCCAGTCACACAGGGCCTGGGCCAAGGACGCCATGCACCTGTACCATGTATACAGGGCCCCACACTGCGGCCACCACTGGAGTGAGTGGCACCCCCTCCCCTGAGCTCAATAAATGTCAGGTTCTGTGCAAAACAACAACAACAACAACCATGTGCCATTAGGAGGTTAGGAGGAAGGTATATTGAGGAGTCAGTCATTTGCTGTAAGTGTGTGATAAATGTACCTTATGTAGGAGGGTAACTGTCGAGAGTCCACAGTGCTCAGCTGAATTGCTCTCTTAATGAGTTAGACTCAGAGCTGGTGTACAGGCAGACACTGGTCTGTGGCACTGACTGATCAAATATGGAAGTACTTCTATTCCAGTGGATACCTAGGCTCTTCACCTCCCTAGCCAGAACAAGATCTCCCCATGATCCAGTAACTAATGGGGGGCTGCTTAGAACAGCAAAGAGCCTCCAGAAACCATTTTGATCTGTCTGGTCTGTGCCAAACTAATTGTCAAATGTTTTGACCATCCACCCTGGTCATATTCAAATAACCATATAAGGTATTCATGTCATAGAATGGGGAGAAGGAGGTTGACTGTCTAACTAATTTTAATAGAAGTATGTAGATGGAATCAAACCACTGTGAATCAAAACCTGTAAGTAACTTGCAGAATAGAATTACTATTTACTGTTAATAAACTGTAGGAATAGGAATAAATGATCTTAATTCTAACTGAAGTAAATTTGTAGGCTACCATAAACAAGATGATGGAGAGTATGAAAGGAAGTTAAACAATGGCAAAATGATGTTTGAATTGAATGGTTAAAACAAAATAAAAACTCTAGGAAGCATCAAATCCTAAAAGTAGATTTTGAGATCTATTGCACAGTATGGTGACTATAGCTAATAATAGAATACTACACATTTCCAGATTCCAAGGGAGTAAATTTCAAATGTTTTCACCACAAAAAAGATTAAGTATTTACGGTGATGGATAGGCCAACTAGCTTGCTTTAATTATTCTACATTGTATTTATAAATCATAACATCATTTTTGTACCTTATAAATGGTTATTTAAAAATATATACTCAATATTACAATAGTAATAACAACTGCATTGGGTCAAAAGCAAAACAAAAGGATATAGTTTGTTTGTTTGTTTTTTAGACAGGATCTTGTACTATTACCCAGGCTGGAACACAGTGGCACAATCATGGCTCATCACAGCCTTTATCTCCTGGGCTCAAGCAATCCTTCTCTCTCAGCCTCCCGTGTAGCTGGGACTATAGGTTTGCACCACCACACCCAGCTAATTTTTTTTGTAAAGACAAAGTCTCACTATATTGCCTTGGCTGGTCTTGAACTCCTGGGCTTACCTTTCCAAAGTGCTGGGATTATAGGTGTGAGCCACCATATCTTCCCAAAAGGAAACAGTTTTGTGTTTTTTGGTGATTTTTTTTCTTTTGGTCAGAATTTCACTCTGTTGCCCAGGTTGGAGTGCAGTGGCAAGGTCACAGCTACCACAGCTTCAACCTGCTAGGCTTAGGTGACCCTTCCATCTCAGCCTTCCAAGTAGCTGGAACTACAGGTGCGCACCACCATGTCTGGCTAATTTTTGATTTATTGTAGAAACAAGGTCTCGTCAAGTTGGGCAGGCTGGTCTCAGACTCCTGGGCTTGGGCAATCTTCTCACCTCCACCTCCCAAAGTGCTGGGATTACAGGTGTCAGTGACCTTGCCTGGTGGAGATAGTTTAATCTATTTCACAACTGATACAAAGAATTTCCTGACAATGAGATCTTTGACTTTAGGGTGGATTATTGGAAATGGGTGGTAAGTTTAGAATGAAATTTCAAAACAGGATAGGCAATCACGTGTTTGGATGATTATATCTAAAATGTCCCCTATGTTGTGCAAATATAGATGTGTAGACTTGACTGGCTCTGATCTAAGTATCATTTACAGTCCTTAAATTGCAGCTTGGTCCCTCAAAATAACATCCATGCTGTAAGAAACAATGTTTTCATGAATTACATGACTTAAATTTAATTTAATCTAGATTCATCTTAATCTTAAAACAAATTCTGTACCACAAAAGTACATTTTTTTTTTTTGAGTCAGAGTCTCACTCCATCACCCAGGCTGAAGCGCAGTGGCACGCTCACAGCCACCCCAACGTCAACCTGTTGGGCTCGGGCTATCCTTCCACCTCAGCCTTCCAAGTAGCCATAACTACAAGTGCCCTCTACCATGCCTGGTTATTTTTTGATTTATTGTAGAGACGAGGTCTCACCAAGTTGCCAGGGCTGTTCTCGAACCCGTGGGCTCAGGCAATTCCCTCACCTCGGCCTCCCAAAGTGCTGGGATTATAGGCTTGAGCCACCATGCCCAGTCAAAAGTACATTTTTATCTCCAGCACTTGAAAGAGATACCTGTAATAATGACCATGGCGAAAGCTGCAAACCCAGTGTCATCCTTTCCCTTCACAATCCGTGCTCCCCCCTGGGGGTCTGTGAGAAACACGTAGAAGAATTCCTGCCCCTCAGGCTCATCATCGTCCAAAATATGAACTGACACTCTCCGTTCTCGTTCTCCATCTAGAAACGTAAGGATGACAGTTTGTTCTTCAAAGTCTTCTTCTTCAACTGCCCACGTGAGGTTGGAAATTCCAAAGTGATCACGGAAGGGCAATGCACTTGGTTCCTTCTGAGCACATCTTTCGCCAAACGTTTTAACTGTTACACTGACATTGCCAGTAAACCCACCCGTCCTTCGGATAAGAACTTCAGCGGCATTGAGTGTGCCGTTCTTCATCTCCTCTTCAACATAAACAATGGGGGGCCCGAGACTGAATGTTCCATGCATAGAAACATTGGCAGTTGCAGTGGCCACATCAGGCTTTTCAGACACGGCAGGTGTGCCATGAAGAGTGACAAGTTTCCCTGGGATGACAGCCACCCCTGTCACCTCAGTAACAATGGCGACCATCTCGGTTGGCTCTGGAATGCTTGTTGTCTTGCTTGTGCTGGGGTGTGTGGTGGAATCAGTTTCTACAGGAGTGAGAGTTGTGTCGACTGCTACAGCCACAGCTGTCATGGGGAAAGAAGCATCCACTCCTGGTAAGTCATCATTATCCAAGATGGTGACTACTGCAACACTGAAATCTAGATTCAGGCGTGGTCTCCAATGAGACTCAAACTTCCGTAATCCCCTGATTTCTACTGAAGTAATGTTAATGTAAAAAATTTCATCGACCTCAGGAAGCTGATCATTAATAATGCTTATTTCAAAATCAACCTCAGCTTGGAATTTTCGAAACAACAGCTCCCCATTCTGGACAGGCTCAAAGTCTTCCAGCGGCTTGGCACTTCCAGCAGTTGTCTGGTAGGAAACTTGAATGAGATCGCTGTGGAATCCAAACAGCCTCTGTACATGTAATCTGACCATCCGGGTATCCTCTGACACTGTGATATTTCTTGAACGAGGGGAAAATTGGAAGATTCCCATGGGTTCAATTTCAGCAACAGTGAAACCTGATCTGGAAAAAAAGAAATTAAACCATGAGAAAGTTGATAAAAAATAGGAATATCATGTACAGATTCATCTTTCACATACTGAAGACGCTGCTCACGAGGATCTTGACAGTGACATGCCCTTTCAAATTCCATCAAACACTACTAACCTATGGATAAGTAAGAGCACAAGACACGTAAGAACAGGAGCTGCAGTGGCAGACGGGACCAACAAGTCAGAGCTAGACGAAGAGCGCATAGGTCTCATCTGTTTCTCTGTCATCCCCAAGCAGCTGTCCAAGGGATTTGACATATCAAACTCTCTCTGATGAGAGACTTGTTGGGAACGAGACTTCTATGGCACGCTGAACACCAGTCAGTGTTCTTATCTACTAAATAGAAGCCATTACCGGTACTAAGAGCAAAATCCCTGATTTCTCCAGCTACCAGTGATGGGACTATTCTCTCACACAAATATAGCACCTGAATGCACTAGAAGAAACATCCATGAATGAATAATTCACCCTTAGCTTTTTCCTATAGACTTTTGTTGGGAGTTAATAGCTATATCAGAGGTTACACCGGTGGCCCCTCAGCCTAAGTCTGTCTACAGCCACATTTTCTTTTGCTAAGTGCTTTGGTCTAGGTTTTAGTATGAGCTTGAATGCCTTTAGGGAAGATATTCCAGGTCTCTTTACTCTCTGTTGTTAAATACCTACCACTCGGTACATAAAATTGTGGCTAAGAGCTCAGACAGTGGCCATTCAGTCTGGGTTCAAATCATGACCTCAGAATGCCTGAGCTGTGTGATGTTGGGTTCATGAATAATCTAGCTATGACTCACTTTCCTCATCTATAAAGTGGGACAAATAATAGTATCTACCCTATGAGGTTGTTGCCGAAAGAGCAAAATGTGTGTGTGTGTGTGTATGTGTGTGTGCCCCTAGCTTGGGCAGACACTACGAAACTGTTACCTATTATTATTGTTGTTAAAGGCATTTGAATTTGTGAGCCTGAAATACATTCTCTGGACAGACATTTTTAAAATGGTACATGTATAATTTAAAGCCACATTGGATTCTACCAAGAGCTATCCCACTCATAAAATATATACAGAGACATTTGAACAATCACTAATTTTGCTTGCACATTTATCTTATTTTATAAGCAAATTGCAGACCAGAAAGATCAAGTAACTTTCCCCAAGTCACACAGTGAGTAAGTGGCAAAGCCAGGACCAAATCCCGAAGTAAGGATCTCAGGTCTACCCTCAGCTGCCCTGGTCAAGCCCATTCCAGATCTAAGGAAAGTGAAATGTTTTTGATTAGGGCATATTTATCTGCGAATATACTCAGTTTACATAAACTATTCTCATCTATTGTTAAAGACAAACAGCAAAATTAAGTTAAATTAATCTAAAAAAAGCCACTGGTTTAAGCAAGCAACATGACCACCTGTTGTGATGCCTTGTCCTACTCTTAATCACTTGGGGAAATCAGGTATTCTCTGCTGCTTCTCAGAAGACAGTTCCCTTTACCAGCAAGTGAACTGCCCACAGGGTTGCTACTGAAGATGTGCCCACTCTCAAGTTGAGGGTCATGATGGATCCTCCTCAAGGCTAAGGGAACAGTAGCACTCCTGGGAGTCACCTCCTCTGTGGTATGTTAGTTAGCACATGGGCCATGCACTGCTCTGCACTAAGACTGTGCCTGCATCTTGCTTCACAGAGAATAGTCCTTGTGCCTTTTCCTGTTTTGACTGATACATTTCAGATTCTTCCCTTTTTTTGAGTCCAGGCCTTGCTCTGTTGCCCAGACTGGAGGGCAGTAGCATGATCACAGCTCACCGCAGCCTTGACTTCCTGGGCTCACATGATCCTTCCACCTTAGCCTCCCTAGTAGCTGGGACTACAGGCACATGCCACCACACCGAACTAATTTTTTATTTTTTGTAGCGATCAGATCTCGCTATATTACCTAGGCTGGTCTAGAACTCCTGGACTCAAATGATCTTCCCACCTTGGGCTCCCATAGTGCTGGGAATACAGGCATGAGCAACCACACCCAGCGTGGATTATTCTTTAGAGAACTTCTTGGTTGAGGACTAGATTGGTCTTACCGGAGCCGAGCTCCTCCAGGTGCACTGCTCTGCACTCCTGACAGGTGAATTACAAAGGCCTCTGGTCGACCAGGGCTGGGGAACATCCACAGGGAAACACCTTTCCTCTGTTCACCGTGGGAGAATGAGAGGCTCCCTGGAAGGAAACACGGAAAATAGGGTCTCATGTCTTAGTTCTCACGTTGGGATTTGACTCTTGAAAATGGAGTAAAAGATCTTCTTTTCCAAAATTCGGTAAGAGTTCACCAAAGGCAAAGCATTCAAAAGAGGTGAGGTGGAAGAGGTCAACAAACGTCCAGGAAGCTCCCTAGACCATATGAACCTTGCTTCCTGTCCCACCTCCTCTTACCATCCATCTCTGCTTCTTTCCTGGCTCTATCACATAACCAGTAGTGAAAAGCAAATGGTATTAGGCAAGCTTTGATGTGTATTTGGTGTCAGGCTTTGGTGTGAATTCTGGCCCCAGCGTATTTTCAGAGATGCATGTTGAAGTAGTTTAGGGTGAATTATCATAATCTGTGTATTTTACTTTAAATTGCTTTAGAACAAAATATCCCAAATATGATGGAACGATCAACTGTTCGGTCTAGTCAGAAAGTTCATAGGTGTTCACTGTACCTTACTTTTAATTGTGTTTGAAAATGTATCATCAAAGCTCAAAAAATTTTTTTAAAAAACCTGTATGAAGATATAGCACTATTGTTTGGAAATGCCTGTTTAGTTTAATAAGTTAATATAAATTCACAAAAGTTTCTGAAAATTAATTTTATATGTAAGCACAAAGTCACATACACAGCCATAACAATACACAAAAGGGAAAAAACTAAATAATCATAATCATAATTATAATAATAATAATTATTATATGTAGAGACAGGGTCTTGCTGTGTTGCCCAGTCAAGTCTGGAACTCCTGGGCTCAAGCAATCCTCCCACCTTGACCTCCCAAAGTGCTGGAATTACAATCATGAGCCACTGTACACAACCCCCTCATCCCCACCTTCTAAAAGACTTTTTCTTTTTCTAAATTGTATTTAATTTTAAAGATGTGGCATACAATTCAAGGTTGAGTATACAAGTGGTCATCGTACAAGTAAAGACTTTGTTTTTCATTCCTTCTTATCTCTCAGTGACTCCAAGACCTTGGGAAAATGAAAATCCTTGCATTCTCACCAAGAGACTGAGATCCCACTCTGTACACAGGTTTTTACTACTGAGGGTAATGGTGTTTGCCTGGTGACCAGCAGGACATTGTGAATAAGGGAGTAGGAACCTCAAAGATCCTGACACCCCAAAGAGTCCTTTACAAAAACCGCCATCATATGAATCTGCAATGAGCCTTCTGTAACATGGGAGAGACCAAATCACCTAACATTTCCATCTCACTAACTCTCAAAGAGCTAAAGGCATCACTTAAAAAATAAAGTACGCCTTTGGGAGGCTGAGGTGAGTGGATCGCCTGAGCCCGTGGGTTCGAGACCCACCTGGGCAGCGAGACCTCATCTCTACAATAAATCAAAAATCAGCCGGGCGTGGTAGCGCATGCCTGTAATTCCGGCTACTTGGAAGGCTGAGGCGGAAGGATCGCCAGAGCCCAGCAGGTCGAGGCTGCGGTGGCCGGGAGCGGCCACTGCACTCCAGTCTGGGTGACTAAGTGAGACTCCAACTAAAAGTAAATAAATAAATAAATAAATAAAGTATTTGAAATAATAGCTGTCCTACTGTCAGAAGTACTCAGGTGAACATGTAAAGACATGCAAAGTTGTGTATGTGCCAAATTGAGTTTTTTGAATGACTTTCAACAGACTCCTCAAGTACAGACAGAGTAGTCCACTTAGCGCCCACCATGCTGGGGTAAAGTATGACGTTTCTAATTTGACTGAAAAATGTTTCCTTTTCTCACCAAGTGGCTTGCACAAGTCTGACCACCTAACTATGGGAGTGCTGTGTTAGAAAACACTTTCGTGTCTAGATTAAGGATGGCCCAGTAAAATGAATGGCCACCTACACATCTCCATATATCACAGGGATGATCATAGAAAAATCACAACTCACCCAGTGCTGGGGTCATGTTGCCAACAACAATAAGTTCCGGGATGTCTAAGCCAGGGGCATATCCGGTGGTCCAGGCAACCGAGAGGGAGCCATAAGTGCCTCTTCTAGAGATCACAACCTGGCTAGTGCCGGCAGTGATGTCCGTGAGTGGAAAAGCTGTGGATTCAAATCCAACCTGAAGAAGAAACACACGTGGAATATTTTATTTCTCTCTAAAGTGTCCTGTTTTCTAAAAAGCGGGTTAAATGTCAACTGTCCCTTCACCACTACAATATACTTCCTTGTCTTATAATATAAGCCGTTAAAGAGAAGTGCTTAAGAAATGACACCTCACATTTGAACGTTTATTTTACTTTATAATTCAGATGGTAATTCTGAATTTCTTTCTCTTTTTTAAAAAATCAAAATGTAATCCGTTGAATGACAATATCCAAAAAACTAAACATAATCATGGCTAAATGAGAGCAAAAGATTTAAAGTGGCATTTTAATATGACTTATTTAATGGGTTTTTCCAGAACCTGGTATGTCTAGAGCATTCTAAGATATAATAACATATTTCTTCATTAATAAAATGAGCAACATGAACTAGACCTACTATTAAGGCTCTTTTCAGACCTTTGATTTAACTTGATATCTCTTTTTGAGAATCAGAAAGTTTCAAAGATTTTTTTAAATGACCATTTTTTTCACAAGCATCAAGTAAAATCTTGTTTTAAGGGCAACCTTCCCAGGATTTATGATTTACAGATGAAATAAGTTCTGTGGCCGGGCTCGGTGGCTCAGCCTGCAATCCCAGCACTTTGGAAGGCCAAGGCGAGTGGACTGCCTGAGCCCACGGGTTCGAGACCAGCCCACGCAACTTGGCGAGACCTTGTCTCTACAGTAAATCAAAGTATTAGCTGGGCATGGTAGCACGCGCCTGTAGCTCTGGCTACTTGGAAGGCTGAGGAGGAAGCATCGCCAGAAACTAGTAGGTGGATGCTGGGGTGGCTGTGGGCGTGCCACTGCACTCTAGACTGGGTGACAGAGTAAGACTCCAACTCCAAAAAAAAAAAAAGTTCTGTATGAATAAGAGTAAGTATAAATCCAGGTTCTTGGCTTCACATTGGAATTTGGACAATTCAGTATACCTTTTTGATCTCAATAGCTATAAATGGGGGACATCACTAAATCAACAGGTATACGTTAAGACTCTTCCCTTTTTAAACTTGAATGCAGATTTCAGAAAAGTATGAGAGGGTCCCACAGGACAGCTTCACTCCTGAAAAACAACAACACCTTTAACCTGACACCAACCGTATTCTCTGTTATAGTGAGGCTACTGCTTAGTAACTGCCAAAAGCTTTAAGACCATGCTTGCTACATAGCTATTTAAAAATGTCTTACACACACACACCATAAAACGCTGGTAGGAGTATAAAGGTGTATAAAGGATTCACCCAGGACATGAATGCACCATGACTGGCCCCAACCTTGCCATTTGGAGTAACACAGTGTTGTGACTGTATGCGTGGACAAGAAGTAGGACATATTTTCCTACTGAGATCTCAACTGAAGAACATCCCTCAGTGGCTGGGGTCCACAGCTACCCACATTCTGTCCACGGATCAGCACAAGATATTGGCATCTTGAGCCAGGCTTGCCTTGATCACTTGAGCTCCCACCTGAAGTAGGATGGCAGTATGTCTCCTAAGGGCTTCAAAACTACAAACGTTATCATAGTCATAGACAAAAGCCCTGCCTTTTTCTGGTATCGACAGAGTCAGCCTAAAAGAAAAGAATCTGACCACCAGTTACTTGCCTACAGCAGCACAAGCCTGCCACAGTAAACCGAAGCCCAGATATTACAGAGAACATTCACAGTGACAGTAAGTGAACAAGTCAGAAATATTAATTAAGGCTTCATGATCATTTAATGACAGCATAAAATACGTTAACATTTAATAGTTGACATCAAGAAAAGATCTGGAAATTTTAACTTTGGGGTCTATTACTTTAAAAATTCTATACACTCAAATTCCATATGCCAAAAACTTCCTAAAGCCCCCAAAAGAAAACACATTTTCTACCTATTGTGAAAATGGACAAATTATTTGTATACAATGTGTTCCTTATGTCTGCTTTGATATTCACAGGACTACTCAGATTTGAGAAAGCAGTTAATCTTAAGGATCTCAGTCCTTCTTATAGAAGCTTCCCTCTAGTGGTTCGGGGAGGGTACCACACCCAGAGCCAATTACCTGAGAATTGGCAGCTTTCTCAGAGACAGGTAGGACTGCGGATTTGGCTTCCTGGAGAATTGTTGGCATTCCGTAGAAATGCCCACCAACAAGCATCACCGTCACCAGTTGCAAAGTGAAATTAGAGTCCAGCGACAGGAAGACCTATAAACAGACATTATCAATGATTCAGAAATAATTTTTTCAGAGAAAAACACTGACCTTTGACCTGAGTCATTAGCACACTGTCTGAGTAACAGTTTCATCAATGGATGCCCTTTCTCCTTTGCCATAAAACAAACCTCCAGCATTGAGAGTGTGGGATGAGGAGTGCTACGTGTGCCCTCATGGCAATCCCTTCACCTCAGCCTCCCAAAGTGCTGGGATTACAGGCTTGAGCCACAGTGCCTGGCCTCACACACTTTTATAACCGGCTGTGAACGGCCCTTCTGCACTAGACAGGGAGCAGTGCAGCAATGGGAGGTGTCTCAGTCTTCTCTGTATCTGCTGAACTTCTCACAATGATTGGCACACAGGAAGTGCTCAATAAACGACTCAACCGCAAATGTAAAATTCCTCTTACATTCTGACTTAAACTCTTTTTTTTTTGGAGTTGGGGTCTCACTCTATTGCCCAGGATGGAGTGCACCAGCATGATCACAGCTCATTGCAGCCTCCAACTCCTGGGCTCAAGCGATCCTCCTGCCTCGGTTTCCTGAGTTGCTGGGTCTACAGCACACACCACCACACTCAGCTAATTTTTTTGATTTTTTTAAAAATAGAGACAAAGTCTCGCTATATTGCCCAGGCTGGTCTCAAACTCCTGAGCTCAAGCGATCCTCCCACTTTGGCCTCCCAAAATGCTGGGATTACAGGCATGAGCCACTGTGTCTGACCTTAAGCTCCTTTAAACTTTGACTTGTTCGTTTAGCATGCCAAGAATCCATACTATTAGTGTGCACCTCATAAAAGCAGTCAGATGTTGACCAGGTGTTAAAAACTTGCCAGGTGTTAACAGATTACACTCTCAGGTTCTGGTGTTAGACCTACATCAAGAGTCTTTAGAGTTTTTAGAGACTAATGAAAGCTCACCCTTTATGCAGACCCACTGGAAGGCCTGAAGCCACAGCCCAAGTGGTCAACTACATTATGACCTTTGGTGTCATTCTCTGTGGCTGACCTGTCTGAAGTCCTAACTATTGTCCAGCAGGGTGGACCAGAGAGAACTGTATGTCAACTCTTGTTAACTAAAACCCCAAACATCAAAGAGCAATGTGTTATCTCTAGGGCAGGAGGGAAGAAGGGGACCACTGATAAAATATTAACCTTGCCGGGCACAGTGGCTCATGCCTATAATCCTAACATTTTGGGAGGCCAAGGCAGGAGGATTAGCTTGAGCCAGGATTAGTGTGAACACAGCAAGACCTCATCTCTACATAAAACTTTTAAAAATTAGCTGGGCAGGTGATGCACGCCTGTAGTTCCAACTATTTGGGAAGCTGAGGACGGAGGATCACTTGAACCAAGCCTGGATTTCAAGGCTACAGTGAGCTATGAGCATGCCACTCCACTCCAGCTTGGACAACAGAGTGAGACTCTGACACACACACACACACACACACACACACACACACACACACACACACACACACACCCCTTAGCCTTGATATGCATGCCACACCTTGCCCTAAACAGTTATCTTGGAAAGATTAATTCACCAAGATCTAATAATCTATGTGCAGTCTTATACCACACATCCTAGGTGAGAAAGAGAGAAGTCTCCCAGCTTGAAATAAATTAATGAAAGACATTAAAGCAAGCAAAACAGAGGAAGCTTGTGTGTACGTGTAAACTGGGGTCCTTTCCATACACCTTCTTGAAAACAAAGGGAGGGCTTTGGCCGTGAGTCAGTTTCCCAAAGAACGACAGCAGGTCTTTGAATGACACCACATCACTCAATGCGTTTCATTCTAACATGGATGAGAAATCATATTAATAATTAAAATGGAGTCAAAGAAGATATTAAAAATTCATAAATGATAATTCACTTATATTACGAAAGAAGCTAAGCATTTTTATAAACTATATTGCCACGCTTTCAAAGTGAAATAAAAAGAAGAATGCCATCCTTCAAAATGTTCCAGGAACCACGAGAAGCAGCCTAAGAGCTAGGAAGACCAATGGTCTCAGTTCATGTAGTGAATATCACATTTTTTGGTTTTCTTATACATAGCCTAAAAGCAATTTTGTACTACACACATTGCTCAGTAAAAAATAGTACAATTGAATCTGGTCTGTGGCTTATTGTCTTATTGTCAAATGAAATCTCACTATAAAATGACACAAAGTTATTCCCAGAAAAGTTAAAGGATCGCCCCCTAGTGTTCACGAGCAGCTTGCAACTTGAAAATGTTCCTTATGTAAATACTATAAACGCACGGGAAATGTTTCAAGTTATACAATTTAAGCATACTGTTTTTAAAAAATTCTTTGAATTGCAAATGAGGCCTAATACAACACTATTCTGGTTAATCAGTCCAACTTCTCACTTCTCCATCTCTGTATTCACTATTCTAGCCTAGAGGACTGATGGATATGGCACAATTTCAAATAAATGTAAGCTAGCATATCTTTAAGAAAGAGTCATGAAAACAAGTAAGATAACATTATTTTTTCCAGTTCAAGGTCGTGGGTGGCCGGAATCCATTCCAGCAACTCAGGGTATGAGGTCTAAGCCAGCCCTGGACAGGACACCATCCCATCTCAGGGCTGGAAATGAATACAGCAGGGCCTTGGCGTTAAGTCAGTTTCCCAAAGAAATGCAGAGGGTCCTCTAGTCACACCATTCAATGTTGTTTCATTACAACACGGAAGAAGAAAACAAAAAAGACTCCTGGCCAGGACTACTGTCTGTATGGAGTTTGCACATCCTCCTAAGTCTGCGTGGGTTCCTCCTACATCCCAGAGATGGACCTGTGAGGTGAGGGCATGTCTGTCCCCATCTGAGTGTGTAGGTGAGGATGGGTGGTCCTGAGATTCAATGGCATCCTGTCAGGGGCTGGCCTGGACCTTGTGCCCTGAGTTGCTGGGATGGATTCCAGCCACCCATGACCTTGAACTGGAATAAGTAATAAATAATCTTACTTGTTTTCATGACTCTTTCTTAAATGTATGTTAGCTCACACTTATTTGAAATTTTTTTTTTGGTGTGTGTGTGTCAGGGTCTCACTCTTTCACCCAGGCTGGAGTGCAGTGGCTCACTGCAGCCTCGACCTCCTGGGCTCAGGTGATCCTTCTACCTCAGCCTCCCAAGTAGCTGGGACTACAGGCATGTGCCACTACACCCAACGGATTTTTTTGATTTGTTGTCGAGAAGAAGCCTCCCTATATTGCCCAGGCTGGTCTAGGACTCCTGAGCTCAAGCAACCATCCTGCCTCAGCCTCCCAAGTGCTGGGATCCCAGGTGTGAGCCTCTGCGCTTGGACAGCCCTTCTAACCATGAGATAATTAATCTCCAGCACCATAACGCATCCAGTGGCAATGAATGCCATCATGCATACAGAGTTAATGATGAAATTACCTAGCTTCTTGTTTCTACGAAGTTAACTTCTCTTCTACGCATAGAGAATGATGTGACCAGTGCCATCCCCGGGAGGATTAAGAAAAACAGTCCCTCCAAGCATTTTCTGAGGTTCAGATGGAACAAGACTGCTGGGTTCTCTACTTGGCCCACAAGAAGCTCCTGCCTTCTTAGCACTTGTCCCAAATGTTGGCAGAGCAGCCGCTACCCCTTCTCCTCACTGCCATCGCTGACCATCATAGCCCATTTCCCAAGTTCCAGATTTCCAAGGAAAGAAGCAGGAGCCAGGCTGCATCCACGGAGGCCCTTCAAGCCCCAGCGTGCACACACCAGTCTTTCTCATTCTGCTACCCTTTGGAAGGAGCACCAGGAAGCCCACATCTTTCTTCCTCTCAACAAGTATCTGAGTGTGTGCAAGCACATGCACATGTGGGTGAATCGGGGTATAGATGTACAGCACTCACAACACTTCCTAGAAGTCTGTAGGTGCTAAAGAAGTATCTGCTCCTCTCTAGACAGGAAATCTATTATTTTCAAATAGCAATATACATATTGATAATCTGCAAATGTATCAACCAATAATTAATGTGTGTGTATGTACTTTTACGTGTGTGTGTGTATTTTTTTTTGAGACAAAGTCTCACTCTGTCACCCAGGATGGCGTGCAATGGCACGATCATGGCTCACTACGACCTCAACCTTATGGGCTCAGGTGATTCTTCCTCTTCAGCCTCCCGAGTATCCAGGACTACAGGCACACATCACCATATCTAGCTTATTTTGTGATTTTTTTTTATAGAGTTAAGGTCTCACTATGTTGCCTAGGTTGGTCTCATACTCCTGGGCTCAAGCAATCCTCCTGTCTTGGACTCCCAAAGTGCTGGGATTACAGGTGTGAGTCATCGCACCCAGCCACTACACATTTTCTTTTCTTTTTTTTCTTTTTTGAGTTGGAGTCTCACTCTGTCGCTCAGACTGGAGGGCAGTGGCCGCTCCCGGCCACCGCAGCCTTGACCTACTGGGCTCCGGCGATCCTTCCGCCTCAGCCTTCCAAGTAGTTGGAATTACAGGCACGCGCTACCACGCCCGGCTGATTTTTTGATTTATTGTAGAGATGAGGTCTCACCAAGTTGCCCAGGCGGGTCTCGAACCCGCGGGCGCAGGCAATCCACTCACCTCAGCCTCCCAAAGCGCGGGATTACAGGCTGAGCCACCAAGTCCGGCTTACGGATTTTCTAAGACATTTTTCATGGTTACTTTTAAATATGAGAGTAAGATTTTAAACTGATCGTGAGGTAAGCAGGGCATCTTCTGCAGGAGTTTTACTGGAATGATCAGGAACCTGAGGAAATGCCACAAACCTGATTCTTTATTGGCACCGTGTCCACTATGTATCTAGCACCGTCTCTGACCACTAGCTGCCTCTCTGCACGTTCAGTGACAATCGGCTGTTCCTTATGATCAGAAGAGATTCGGAACCCCACAGCCACATCTCCAAATGTCCCCGCAAGCCGGGTTATGTTAATCTGGATGGATCTAAGAAGGTTCTGTCCAATAAGTATCGCCTGGCGATCTGAGTACAGGGCAAACACTCCATGGGGGTCATCATTTGCATACACAGAGAACCATGCAGCGTGTTTCTCGGGGTCCAGTTCTGCTCCTCCCTGTACAGAGACAAGCCGGATCTCATATTCTTCCTCTATCTCAGGTACATCATCCGGTAGCAAGTGAACATCAAAGCTAGCTTCACTCTCTCCATCAGCAATGGCAAAAAACCCACTTGTGGAAAGAAAGTCTTCAGTGAAATCAAACTCACTACTTAACTCCCAGGAAACCTAAAATAAAAAGGAAAAGAGATCCAACAAAGTTATATCATTCAGTATATTGAACCCAAATCCTTTAAATTACATTTTCTGTATAATGTACAAAAAATAGATTTTAATTGTGTATCATTATATTCAGAGCCAAACTCTCCAAATAAATGTATGGGAACTGTATTAACTTTTTTGGTCTGTTGTATGCAATTTGTGGGACAAGATGACAAAAATCTCATTATTTCACTTGCTTCTAAAATAACAGCACAATTTGAAGAGATAAAGAGAAGCAAGTTAATGTTAACATGCTAGTTCCACAGATACATTCATCAGTAAACCACACACAATATTTGAAGGCAAAAAACAGATAATTTGAAGATTCAGATCAGATTTTTTTTGCTTTTAATAAAAAGGGAAGATCTGTAAGATATCAAGAACTAATCATTATTTTTCTAAGAATTGTTAGCCTCCAAACCATGGAGTTGCAACCGAATAAGTACCATTTAATCTCCACTATCGAAAGAGAGGTAAGTATATAGAGAAATTCCACAAAATATGTTTTCCTAGCAAACAAATGACCTTGATCTATCACACAAATATCATGAAGACTTACAAAGGCATCCCTAAACATACTATATAAACATACATGCAAATGCAACCTCTTAAAACAACAGCCGTTAAAAGAAAAAGTCTATTAAAAAATAAAGCCCTGAAGAAGATATTAGGAATTTACACAAATCATCGAGAGGCTTAAGTAGGAAAGCTTCACATCATAGCAAACAACATGATACAACTCAGTTCAGTCCTTCATGATGAAGGTGTGAGGAAGATATTTCGGAACTAACTGTAACCAAATTTAGCATAGTGATAGCTAGAGCTTGATGCTGGCTAGAGCACCCAGAGATGTCCCTCTTCACCTTGTTTGTTAGGCAAATTGGTACTCCACTTAGGACAGTCAGATGGAAAACAATACCGTAATCTCTCCAAAGGTGCCTTTGATTCTCTTGACAAAGAAGGTAATGATCAGGGGCCCTTCCAAAGCAGCAGGCTCTGAATAAATCTTCTTAGAGAGAGAGTCAGGCGCAAATTGGACAACTCCATTTGGATCACCAAACTTTTGTATCTAAAATGTAGAAACAGAGAGCAGAGGAAATAGAACGTAGGCCAACTGTGGATGCAGCTACGTTATCCACACAGTATTACAATATCCACATATTTACACACAGACATGCTGAGGAAATGAATGAAACATAGAAAGGATGCTTGAATACCATCTACTGAGCTACCTGATTTCTGAAAAACTTCTTTACCACTGCTGTCTAAAAAAAGTAGGTTCTTAGTCCCCAAAGATCATGGGAATAAGTATTCGGAAAACTACTATTCGCAGAATCCCAAAAAGATAGGACTTTGATGCCTGAACTTTGCTTTATTCGTCTCCTATTTGTTACATTTAACCAGTTGCTTTTAGCTAAACTCTTTCCATTAGCTCTGCTATAATGCAGAAAGAGACAAACAGGTCCTGTGATGCTAATTTGACATGTCAGCTTGGCAAGGTTGTGGTGCCCAGTTGTTGGGTCACATCCTAGTCTAGGTGTTGCAGTGAAGGCTTTTTAGTAGATCTGATTAATATTGAAAATCAGTTGACTCCAAGTGAAGGAGGTTACATGTAAGAAGGTGGGTGGGCCTCATCTACACAACTGAAGGCCTTAAAAGAGGTTACCTGGAGAAAAAGGAATTCTGTCTCCAGACTGTAACTTAGGAATACTGTTTGAGTTTCTTACTGGCCTGCCCTACAAAACTCAAACTCAATACTGCAGCTTCACCTGTTTGCTGAGTTTCCTGTCTTTCAGCCTATTCCATGGATTTTGGACTCAACAGCCCCCATGATCATGCAAGTCAGTTCCTTAAAATATCTCTGTATCTCTGTCTTTCTTTGAGAGAGAGAGAGAGAGAGAGAGAGAGAGAGAGAGAGAGAGAGAGAGAGAGTGTGTGTGTGTGTGTGTGTGTGTGTATGCATGAGCACATATGTCTTTATCCGTCTTTAAGAGAAAATGTGAGAGTGAGTGAGAGTGTGTGTGTGTGTGTGTGTGTGTCCCTTCCATTGGTTCTGTTTCTCTGGAAAATTCTTATAGTATAGAGCCCAAAAAGAATATTTTCCAGTTGGGCACTGCGACTCATGTCCGTAATCCCAGAATTTGGGGACCTAAGGTGAGTGGATTGCTTGAGTCCAGGAGTTCAAAACCAGCCTTAGCAACATAGTAAGACCTTGTCTCAACGAAAAAAATTTTAAAAATTAGCCAGGCATGGTGGTGCACACCTATAGTCCCGAAAACTTGAGAGACTGAGCTGGAAGGATCACTTGAGCCCAGGAGATTGAGGCTGTGGTAAGGCATGATGATGCCACGCACTTTAGCCTGGGCAACAGAGTGAGAATTTAGCCTGGGCAACAGAGTGAGACGCCGACTCAAAAAAAAAAAAAAGTGTCATTTCCCTGCATTGTTTCCAGTATCTTTGATCTCAGTACTTTCTGCCCTTGATGAACTTCACGGTTCATATCAAATACACTGAATTCGAGTCTGACCCACCATCAACCACATCATTGTGCCAACTGAACAAACACACTTTTGCCTTCAAACAAAGTAACCTACAACTAGTTAATAACTGTTATAGTCTTTGATGCAAAGATATTCAATGTTTAAAATGATACAACAAATACTTCCTCTCTAAAACTGCGAAACATTCCCAAAACACCAAATTTTCTCCAAGCTTGTAAAATAAGCATTTATCACTATACTAAAATGATTTTAAAAAATATTACCAGCTGAGCATGGTGGCTCATGCCTATAATCCCAGCACTTTGGGAGGCTGAAGTGAGAGGACTGCCTGAGCCCATGAGTTTGAGACCAGCCTGCACAACATGGTGAGACCTCCTCTCTACAATAAATCAAAAATTAGCTGGGCATGGTGGCGTGTGCCTGTAGTTTCAGCTATTTGGAAGGCTGAGGCAGAAAGATCACCTGAGCCCCGCAGTCAAGGCTGCGGAGGCCGTGAGCGTGCCACTGCAGTCCAGCCTGGGCAACAGAGTGAGACTCCAACTCAAAAAAAAAAAAAATTACCAATAACCAGGATATGTAATAAACTAACATAAAAATCAGAAAGTTCGACTCATCTGAGTTACCATGATTTCATTTGGCTACATAAGCTTCCATTCATCAGAAGCATACAGTTTCAACAAATGAAAATGTATTTTCTGGTCAATCCACTGAATCTACATTTTGTGTGAAAAATACAGTCAGACTTACTGTTAAGGTAATCTCTTTAGCCCTGGAGTCTAATTTAGCTTCTCCTTTCACAAGTTGGAGTCGAATGATGAAAGTCTCTTCCACTTCAACGTCCTCATGAGGATGCATGGTCAGAACAATGGATCTCTCTCCACCCTCTCCTTCTCCAAAATGAAAGAGCCCGTTCACTGGGTCTGCGATGTCTCTGTTCTGCGGTGGTAAGGCTTCTTGAGAATTAGGTCCCAATATCTCCCAGTTCACCTGCAGGGTGTTTTTACTTTTAGTTTTTATTTAATAGATATAATCAGGTCTAAGTAAAGAATTGTTGTAGACTATGAAGTATTAAGAATACTAGCCAAGCATGGCGGCACGTGCCTATAATCCCAGCACTTTGGTAGGCCACGGCAGGATGATTGCCTGAGCCAGGGAGTTTAAGACCAGCCTGAGCAACATAGCAAGAGCTCATCTCTACAAAAAAAAATTTTTTTAAATAGCCAGCTGAGGTGGCACACATCCATAGTTACATCTGCTTGGGTCACTGAGGCAGAAGGATTGCCTGAGGCCAGGAGGTTGAGGTTGTGGTGGGTCTTGACTGTGCCACTGCACTCCAGCCTGGGTGACAGACTGAGACCCTGACTCAAAAATAAAAGTAAAAAAGAATATATATATCAAAACTAGTCTAGGCTATCTCCAGTGAACCCCTGTTTCATAAACTCATATTCTGCTAATATAAACTGTACCTACAGAATATCAGTTTTTATAGATTAAGCCATCTAATGAGAGAAGAAAAATATGAACACCTAGTCATTTTCATCACCACAGAATAACAAATATATGAAAACTTATACCAAAATATATATCAGAGAAATATAAACATTTAAAAAATATATGAATACAACCTTGCCCTGCTGTATATACAGGTTCTGCCAATCAAAACATATAAAAAGACAATAAGCCATCTGAAAACCCTGCTAGGTGTGCAGTCTCTTCTAAATACACTGAAATCCCTAGTGTAAAATGAACAGAAATCTTTGCAAGTTGTTATAAGAGACAAATTTTTATATGGTAATAAAAGTATTTTTTAAGTTTGTATTATTTAAAACTGTATCTTTTCATGTCATCCACGAAGAAAGAAAATCAGCCACTTACTTTTGCTTCTTTTTTTATGCCCATAGATTTAGGGGTACAAAGGGTTTTGGGTTACACAGATGAATTCTATAGTGGTAAATGGGTCTGGGCTTTATCAGCACGAGACCCAGTTGACCACTTCCTCCTCCTTGAATGCTGTGTCCAGTGTTTCTTGGCTGACATGATACTTACACGATACTTACGTGACACACGCCTTCTACCTTCCTCGCTTTTCTCCTCCTTTACTTTTCTGTCTTCCTTGCCGGTTCTTCCTCCTCTCCCTAAGTGCCGGGAGCCCCGGCTCAGCTCTGCTTTCCTCACTTCTCTATCCAGACCCCATAGGTCCCATGGTTTTAATTGCCCCCCCGCCCACGTACCAACACCTTCGAGCTCTGTCCCTCGAGGACCCCACAATACACGCTTGCACATAGCCCTGCCAACTCGACCCCTCCCCAGGGATGCCTGGTGTGTCTCCAAAGAACATGGCTGAAACAGAACTCCAACTCCCCCTAGGCCTCTGCATCTCAGTCAGCAGCGCGATGGGGTATCCAAGTGCTCGAGCTAAACTTCCAGGAGTTATCTGTGGTTCCTCTCTCTCCGCCTCTACTACTAGCCCCATGAATTTTTCTCCAAAACTCAGTGTCTGTCCACGTGTAACCACCTCTGTTTCCAGCACGTGTCTGAGCTACCGTCGACTTTGTCTGGACAGTGGAGGGCAGCAGCCTCCTGCCCACCCTTCCTGCATCTGTCGCTGTTCCGCTGGCTTCTCGACAATCCATTCTCCTCCCTACAGATGTAAGCAAGTTGCTTTAAATGACTCGGAAGGCTGAGGCGGAAGGATCGCCTGAGCCCAGCAGGTCAAGGCTGCGGTGGCCGGGAGCGGCCACTGCACTCCAGTCTGGGCGACAGAGTGAGACTCCAACTCAAAAAAAAAAAAAAAAAAAAATGACAATCTGGTGACATTATTCCCTCGCTTACAATTCCAATGGCATCATTTCTGCACTTAGAATGACGTCTTTAGCCAGCTTAGAAGGTTCTGAGTGATCAAACACCTATGGGCCCCTGACGTATGCTGTGCGGTCACCCCCACATCTCCGAACCCCTGAGTGCATGAACCTCTCTGTTCTTCAGACACACCAGCCTCATGCCTCTAACAAGCCATTGACCTTCTAGCCTGAATGTCATACCCTCCCCAGTCAGCAGTCCACTTGCAGTTCTGTCTCTCAATTTTACAAGCAGAGCCCTTGTCATGACCAGGTCATTTTGTTTGTACTTATTTAGTTTCTTGCTCAACACTACTTACTAAAATGAAAAGTGTGTGAGAAAAGGGAAGATGTCTGTCTTATTCCCCAGTATGTCTTCAGTATCTAGAACAGGATCTGGCATGCAGAAAGCACTCCACAAATACTAGCTGAATTGCTAACTTTTCCAGAATCATTTACTTCATTTCTAACTTGCTCTCAAATATTCTGAGGACACATGTACACCTCTTACGTTTTTACGAGCATCAATGGACTGAGAAGCCACTTTACACTCACAAAATAATTAATAAATGATGATTGTGAATAAATAAGCAAATATATTGGGGAATAAGGAAATCTAGTATCATAGTCACTCAATCAAAAATTATTTTTTAGGCCAGGAACACACAGTGGCTCACACCTGAAGTCCCAGCACTTTAGGAGGCCAAAGTGGGAGGATCGCTGGAGCCCAGGAGTTCAAGACCAGCTTGGACAACCTCGTGAGACCTCATCTTTACAAAAAATTAGCTGGGTGTGGTGGTATGCACCTGTAGTTCCAGCTACTCGGGAGGCTAAGGTGGAAGGAGCATCTGAGGACAGGAGTCGGAAGCTGTAGTGAGCTATGACTACACCACTGCACTCCAACCAGGCAACAGAGTGAGACTTTGGTTCCAAAAAAAAATTATATTTAAATGCTGAGAAAAATATAAAGATGAATATTACAGACACCGAGGACTCCAAAACAGGGGACAGTGGGAGAAAGGTGGCTAAAATTTAGCTGTTTGGGCACAATGTTGGATGTTTGGGTGATGGATAGACCGGAAGTTCACTTCCCACCATGTTGCAATAGACCCACAAAACAAGCACACGTATGCCTTGAATCTTAAATAAAAATAGTGTTTAAGAAACTCTACCTGAATCTCTCCCAAGAGTCCTCCGGTCCGCTCCAGCACCAAGGACAAAATCGTTGTGGAATTGGGGTTAGGAACAGAGATTTTGCTTTGATTGAGAAACCTTACAAGGCCGAAGGGAGAGTCACTCTTGGCGATGGTGATCCTGCTCACTAGGTGGCGCCCAAGGACCGCTCCGCCCGTCGCCCCAGTGAGCAGAATCTCAATGGGCTCCTCAAATTCACTGCAGAGCAAGGAGAGGCAATTCTGAGTCTAAACATATTCAAGTGCTTGTAAAATCCCAATAACTAGTCATTTTCCAAATTGGTCATACATATTCGAGGCACAGTAGTCACACAGCAAGTGGTAAGAAGCGTGAACGATCAACATCAAGGCTATGTAGATAAGGACGGTTATTAACTTTTCTGTCCTCTTCCTAATTGCTTAATGCAGCAGCCCCAACCTTTGTGGCATCAGGGACCAGTTTCATGGAAGACAATTCTTCCATGTATCGGGGGGAAGGAATGGTTTTGGGATGATTCAAGCATACGTCATTTATTGTTCACTTTGTTTCTCTTATTACTACATTACAAAGTAAAATGAAATAATTATACAATTCACCATTTTAAAAAAAGATGCATGAGCAGAAGTGGTAAATAAAATAAAGGGTGGGTCAAGCACAGACTGAAATAAGTGTCGGATTATGACTTAAAGCCTGCCACCAGATGCAGCTGTACAATGAACTTACATCAACTCACTGATAGGGTTTTGATATGAGCCTGCAAGCAACTGATTTATGACGGTCTCTGTGCAGTCAAACCTCACTGCTAATGTTCATCTGCAGCCACTCCCCTGTGCTAGCATCATCACCTCAGGTCTACTCAGATCATCAGGCATTAGATTCTCACAAGGAGCATGCAACTAAGATCCCTCACACGTACAGTTCACAATGGGTTCGGGCTTTCATGAGAATATAATGTCAACGATCTGACAGAAGGCAGCACTCAGGCGGTAATTCAAGCGATGGGGAGCGGCTGTAAATACAGATGAAGCTTCGCTAGCTTGCCCGCTGCTCACCTCCTGCTGTGCAGCCTGATTCCTAACAGGCCATGGACCAATAACAGTCTGTAGCCCAGGGGTTGGGACCCCTGGCTTAATGCATTAAGGGAGTGAATCGGGGATGTTTTCATATCCTGATTCAACTTTTTAAACCTAAAGTAACCGAAGTCATGATTTGCTCTATTTGGAGCCAAGTGACATATGCAACCACGTGGTTTCCTTTCTCTACCCTAGCATCCCCAAAAGTCTCTTACCTGCCGTCTGTCAATGGGCACATGTATTATCTATGCCCAGAACACACGCGAGGGTGAACACAATACTCATGCCTTGGTTATGCCCACATTCTCTCCCGTATCACTAACCTTTCGCTGTCATCAACGATGGAGACATTTATAAAACTTAAGTTCTGTCCATGCCAGAAGGTGATGGAATCACCATGCAGTATGTAATCGACACCCCCAGGGACGGCGGAGGAGCTGTGAGCAGTGAAGTCAGCTGTCACCTGACCATACGTTCCTTTCAGCCTCACCACGGGAATTATGACCAGTCCGACATCTTCCTCCACTGTAATGGGAATGTGGGGCCATGTTTAGAAAATTCAGCCAGATTAAACCTGGCAATTAAATAGAATGGCCGGGCTCGGTGGCTCTGCCTGTAATCCTGCACTTTGGGTGGCTGAGGTGAGTGGATTGCCTGAGCCCGTGGTTCGAGACCCGCCTGGCCAACTTGGCGAGACCTCATCTTACAATAAAAATCAAAAACTCAGCCAGGCGTGGTAACGCACGCCTGTAATTCTGGCTACTCGGAAGGCTGAGGTGGAAGGATTGCTGGAGCCCAGCAGGTCAAGGCTGCAGTGGCCGGGAGTGGCCACTGCATTCCAGTCTGGGCAACAGAGACTCCAACTCAAAAAAAAATAAATAAAATAAAATAAAATAATAAATAGAATGGCACAGTTCATTGAACACTTTAAAGAGTGTTTGGTGAACAGTTTCTGACTCTTATTTATTTATTTTTTAGGGAATACAGTTTATCAGATGTGGCCAGTTGTAGGGAGCAGTAAAAGTTAGAATTTAATTAATCTATGTAAATATCAACATAGGCCATGCTTCCTCTGTGTGCTAATGCAAATAAATGACCCTTGTTTTTCTAAGACTGTTAGACACACACACAAAAAACACTTAAAACATTTGTGCTCAAAGGAAACCATTCTGGATTGCTTCTACACATTAGTTGAAACATAAATACAGTGACATAAATAAATAAGTTTTTTTTTTGAATTGGGGGTCCCACTCTGTCACCCAGGCTGGAGTGCAGTAGTATGATCACGTCTTACTGCAGCCTTGACCTCCTGGACTCAGGTGATCCTTCCACCGCAGCCTCCTGAGTAGCTGGGTCTATAGGCACACACCACTACAATTGGTTAGTTTTTTAATTTTTCTGTAGAGACAAGGTCTTACTATCTTGCATAGGCTGGTCTCAAGCTTTTGGACTCAGCAATCCTCCTGCCTTGGCATTTCAAAGTGCTGGGATTACAGGCATAACCCACCGCACCCAGCCAAGATTTTTGTTATTTACTGCATATGACTGTTCTAAAAGTCCAGATGTAGATACAATTCTATTACATTTTTAGTTCTATAAAGTCTACTTGTGCATCTAAAAATGCATCCTTGATGTTTGATTTCAAGTTTTAAATACTTTTCAAAAATAGATTTCTTCTTAAGCAACACTAACCTCTGTATATTAGACTATCATGTAACAGCGTTCACATTAGCGATGGCTAAGTAATACTGAACTTACACTGTAACTGTTTACATTATAAATATGCATTGACCAAAATCTCCAAAGATAGTGAATCAAACAGAGGGCAGTGAACAGTAAAAAATGCAAAGTCTCATTTATTTTTTGATGCACAAATGTAATATGACTTTCACTAGCTATAGACTGAAATTCACAAAACAGTGATGTTTTCCATGACTTTCTCATAAAGTCAATACAAACCAACTCCTAAAGTGAGTTTTGATGGACTTCGAAAGTGGCTAGATAACCAAAAAATTATAATGAAGGCAATGAAACCAATACATTAACTGTGGCAACAAGATAACATGTTTATTTTAAAAGTTATATTCATATTCGGTCTTTGAATGAAGTCACCTTCTAGAAAAGCAGTCACCCCTTTCTACCTAGGAAGAAGAATAATCATATACTCTGTATCATGCTTCTGCAGGAGGGATTGGCAAGCTGCTAGCAGAAACTGTTTCCAGAAAGTGGGATCTGGAAGCCAGATACTACCTGCAGGTGAGGTCCAGCAAGTATCCACTTCGAAGACAATTATTCATTAGACAGTGAATATTCATTGATTTCTAATCACACAGGAAATGAAAATGCATCATTTAGAGAGATTTTTTTTCATACAATGTTTGAAACAGAAACATTTTAATAATCCTAAAGTTAAACATAATTTTCTAGATTATCTCATTCTCGACCATTCAGCTTTGCCATTCACAACAAGGTTCAAGTCCATCCCAAGGTAACTGAAAACATATTTTCAAATTAAATAAGTAAATATAAAGGTGTATGTGAGTATAACACACACATACAGACCAAGCCAAGAAAGTTGACAGATGGCAATTAAAACTGAGAGCCATGCTTGGGTACTCTGTAATCCGGAAAGTAGCAGCAAACATCCTTATAAGAAAGCTACCTATACCTACCTTCGAAGGCAGTATACTTGGGGTCAAATTCAATGATGCCCTCTGCATTGTCATTTTTCATTATTATGATTTGAACAATGGAAATGTTTCCTATTTCAGGAGGTTGATCTATCTGAAGTCCATTTTCTCGGATGGTAAAATCATACCCTCTTGCAAAAAACAAAACAAAGCCGAATAAGATAAAATACAATAAAAACATGATTGCACAGCATAACTTGAAAGGTCTTCCTAGCTCCTATCCCTTAGTTCTACTGAGTATTGTAATACTTTTGAAGAGCCTCAACACTAAGATATCTTTCTTTGTCCCCCTGAAACAGTATTTTGAAACAGATTTCTGTGCTGCTCCCATCATTGGCACCTACAGGAAACCAAATCTAATATAGAGTGACTGAGCTTGGACAATAGGAAACTAATAAACTATGTGGAAATTGGGAAGAAGCTCTTGTAAAATGAAGCTTTGGGGATCACTGCTAAACAACTGCTCTGGCGATGAACCCAGTGCACGCAGAGACAACAAACCAGCTGGGCTGGGGACTGACAGTGTTGGGTTAGGAGGGTGATTTTAAAGGAACAATGAGTGTTACACCACTAATCAAATTTCAAGCTAAACCATCAAGGTTCAAGATAATATCTTAATATCTGTGGAAACCAATCATAATCAATGTCTCTAGTCTTTAATATAGATGATAATTTACTTTTATTATGTATTTCTGCAAAATAAGTTTTTTAAGATGGATATTATTTTCATCAAACAGAAATTTTTACTTCCAGGGCTTTAGATGACTTCAATGCCTGAAGCTAGAAAACGGCACTAAATCATTTTAGTCCTTTCTTCAATTCCCAGATTCTATGTACCTGGTTTTTATACCCTACCTAGTGCTGGCTAATTTTATATGACAAAATTAGAAAATTGGACATTAGAATAGTAAATGATAAGTGTAACTGTGACCAGTAGTCTGAGATGGACTATAGATTAGCTAATTACCAAAAGTGAATATCAAAGCAGGAAGAGTTCTAGCAACTAGGCAAAAAGGCAAACACACTGTATTATACCACCTTCCTTTTCAGATCAAAGGAAGTCTAGAAATTTATCTGGAAGGAAAAACTTGTTTCCTCAGAATTAAACTTAGGTAGAAACTGCTTTTTTCAAAAACAGTAGCAGAGAAGGCAAAAATCTTCAAATCCTAGTCAATAACACAAAAATGATCTCACAGTTAATGAGCTACTTTTACTAAACTTAATTAAGATGGTCAGGGGTCACTTAGATTTTTAACATATGTATTATGGGTCCAAATTCATTCCCTTCTCCACACACAGAAGAATGTTGGGAAAAGATAAAATCTGAAGTGAATGTGAGCAAACAAGATTTTTGAGTGTGGGATGACACACACTCTACCTAAGTCACTATGGGAAATAGTTTAGTTTGAAAAAGCTTTTAAAGCATATTTATGGTACAAATGCAAAAATATCTTCATGCACAAGAAACATTTCTTTAAGACTTCTTTAAATGCACACATTATTCTCATGGGAGGTCCCACTGGTCTGCTGTCTGTGCAGAGTACTAGTTGGTCTTCTCAACCTGCAAGCTGCCCAACTTGTGAGTGTTTAAGCATAAGTAAGGTGTTGTCCACCTCATCAGATCTGCCACACCCCCATCGGGGAACAAAAGAGACTCTTTATGGTTAATTCTTGCTCTTCACTGAAAACAAGGCGCATATGAACGGCCAAGTATTTTTTTTTTTTTTTTTTTGAGTTGGAGTCTCACTCTGTCACCCAGACTGGAGTGCAGTGGCCGCTCCCGGCCACCGCAGCCTCGACCTGCTGGGCTCCGGCAATCCTTCCACCTCAGCCTTCCAAGTAGCTGGAACTACAGGCGCGTGCTATCACATCCAGCTAATTTTTTTTTTATTTATTGTAGAGATGAGGTCTCGCCAAGTTGCCCAGGAGGGTCTCGAACCCGCGGGCGTAGGCAAGGCCAAGTATCTTTGACTCAAGCCTTCCCCCAGTTTAATTGCTGTGGGGCAACCACACACCTCATTCACCCACAGAGAAGGCAACGCAGCCTTCAAACAGACCAAGGAAAGAAACCCCTCAATCCAGCCCCTCCTCTTGCTGGAAATAAGGAGCCGGATCCTGCCATGCCAGTTGACTTCTGACTTACAGAACAGCTAGGCCATTTCTTCAAGTCTGATTCTGTTCAGTTCCCTGACTACCCAGTGAACCCCACAACAGAAACACGGACTTTCAACTTTCGAGGGGAAGACTGTATTTTAGAAAACTGCAAAACATAACAGTCTTTGCCACAATTTCTCTTCTGCACCCAATGTCACACAATTCTGAGAAAGAGCAGGGCAGAACGGCTTACAGATGAACAGTCACCTCTACACAATGCAGCGATCTCATTCCCCCTCCTCTCTCCCTCTCTTTCTCTCCTCTCTCTGTCTCTCTCCCCCCTTCTCTCTGTCTCTCTCTCTCCTCTCTGTTTCTCTTTTCTCTCCCCATTCCCTCTCCCTTTCTCTCTTCTCTTTTTCTTTCTCTCTCCTTCTCTCTGTCCTTGTTTCTCTTGTTCTCTTCCCCCTCTGTCTCTTTCACCCTCCTCTCTCTTTCCCTCTCTCTCTCCTCTCTCCTCCCTTTCTCTCCCCTCTCTCCCTCCTTCCCTTTCTCTCTCTCTCTCTCTCTCTTTCCTCCTTTGTCTCTCTCTCCCCTCTCTCTCCTTTTGCTTTCTCTCTCTCCCCTCCTCTTCCTTTCTCCCTCTGTCCCCCTCTTTCCTTTCTCTTTCTTATTTTCTGTTTCTCAGTTTCCTTTTTCTCCTTTACCTTCCTTGGAGTTCCACCTTTGTAATTGCTAGAGAGAATTCCTCAGGCCCTTCAGGATGGTCATCGTCAATGATTTCAACACGCAGACTTTTCCCCACCTCCCCTGCTTCGAAGAGGAGCTCCCCTGCCGCAGGAAGGAAGTCCAAGCCTGCTTCTGCCGTCCCGCCCGTTGTCTCATACCAGACTCTCACGAGGCCAAAGTATCCACCCATACGGATGATGGTGATGTTGACCTACATGAGAAGCGTTTTCTTACTTGGTTTGGATGTTTAATTTACCAAACAATATTGCCTCTACTTAAAGATTCTATTCACCAGCATTATGTTAAAATTTTATATCAGTTCATAAAACTAGACAAAGTGTATATTAACACGATGAAGTTAGGGGCAAATTAATAGCAAGGAAACAGATTGTAAAGATTAAAAAAAAAGTATTAGAATTTTCCACATTTCACACTATACCCTCTGTTCTGCTTCTGACACGTAAAGCTGCTCATGTGAAAAAGCAAATTGGCCATAGGGGGCATCACTGGCCACCATGGTGATGTTGGCAGAGCTGCTGGGTTCTGACAGCGTGCCCCCTGCACTGATCTCAGTGAGCTGAAACTTGTAGAAATGCTTTTCCTCGGGAATGTCATCATTCAAAGCCTAGAGAAAAACAAAAGGATACCTGTACTCATATGTTCATTGCAGCACTACTCACAATAGCAAAATCATGAAACCAATCTAAGTACCCACCAACAATGGATTGAATAAAGAAAATGTGGTATATATACACCATGAAATATTATGCATCCACAAAAAAGAACGAAATCATGTCCTCTGCAGCAACAAGGATGGAGCTGGTGATCATCATCCTAAGTCAACTAAGGAACAGAAAACCACACTCCACATGTTCTTACTCATATGTCACAAAGATGAAAATAATAGACACTGGGGACACCAATAATGGGTAAAGGGGTGTTAGGGTTCAGAAATTACATATGGGATACAATGTTCGCTATCTGGGAAATGGGCCACCTGAGACCCAATCCCTACCACTACACAATATGTCCATGTAACAAACATGCTTATGTCCCTCCGAATCTAAATTTAAAAGAAAAATAGTCATTAACAGGAGAATCCGCGAAAGCTAAAGAAAAATACCTATCACTCAAGGAATAACAAAATACTGTAATATTAACCTCCTCCCACCCTACACCCACACATACACAGACACACACACACACACACACACACACACACACACACACACACGCATGTGCACACATAGAGAAGGTCATAACAGAGGTGAGCTCACACTGATACCTGTATGACTACAATGGCCGCCGACTGCCCATCTCGCATTGTCAGTTTTCCTGATGTTTCTGCGAATTCCCCCACAGAAGGAGGGATTATCCTCCAGAACACCGTGACATCCCCAAAAATCCCTGGGCCACGGACAAGGCTGCAATAACACACAAATGCATATTCAATGCATTTTTATCAAAGGTTCTTTTCTTAAACATATGCTGTGCTTTCCAATGGTCACCAGTTTTCATTTGTCTCAAGAACAGTATGCTTTTAAATAACCTCTTCTAACAACCGTAAACCAAGAGAAAGTCTTCGAATTCCAAGATAGTGATATCCAAAGTACTGAGTTAGAGTAAATCTACCTTGACAAGAATACTGGAAAAACTGAACACTCAAAGTGGAAGGTTTAAAGGAATAAAAAGAAAGTTTTGTAGACTTTTCACTTAACATACAAGGTACAAAATCTGAATAGCCTAACAAAGAATAGTCTCTAAAGAATAGAAAACACTTTATGCATGCATATGCTAATTCAAAAGGATAAAGTATGACCTCTGAATAACTACCAAGAAGATAAAGTATTAGGTCAAATCTAGCCACTTCACAGATAGTTGCCTCCCATTCCTCATGAGAAAATTGGGGAGAAATGAACTTGCCCATGATCATATGAATGGCCGTGATTTTATTACAGGACACTTAGAAGGAAAATGTTTGACCCTGATGATTTTCTTTTTTTTTTTTTTGAGTTGGAGTCTCACTCTGTCGCCCAGACTAGAGTGCAGTGGCTGCTCCCGGGCACCGCAGCCTCGACCTGCTGGGCTCCGGCGATCCTTCTGCCTCAGCCTTCCAAGTAGCCGGAACTACAGGCGTGTGCTACCACGCCCAGCTTATTTTTTGATTTATTGTAGAGATGAGGTCTCGCCAAGTTGCCCAGGCGGGTCTCGAACCCACGGGCTCAGGCAATCCACTCCCCTCAGCCTCCCAAAGGCGCAGGATTACAGGCTGGGCCACTGAGCCCAACTCCTGATGATTTTCTAAAGAATGATTTTGTAGCTAATGACACACAAATTCACAGAGATGAAGTAACTATCCTTTATTCCATGTTTAGTGACAGAACAGGGCTGAAAGCAGAAGTCTCCTGAGCTCAGCTCCATGTGTGTTCCTGGGCATAAGTGGTGAAGTCACCCAAGAGTCAGAAACTTCCTCATGATCCAACTTCAAGATAGGTCAAGACATATTTTTCAATTTCTGCCCACAGTTCGTTCTACTCGCCTTAGTATGTTACCAGCATATGAAATGGTAACACTTGAAGACGATGAATGTGTTGAGAATGATGTATTTAAGACAAATTGTTTAAATAAAATTTCATAACCCCCATACAGGCAAAGGCAAACTGTGAAGCCCTCACCTGATGATGGCAGTTCCGTTATACTTTGCTGAGGGTTCTCCGATGAGGACGTGCCGAGAGGACGGCGCTATCCCGACTTCCCCTGATGCCCCTTTGTCTCCCCGGATGATGATGGATGCACTGCCTAAATTGAAGATTAAATAGAACACTTTGGAGCAAATGCATGTATGCACTTGGCACATGCCTGGCAATAACCGAAGCGCTTTTGCACATATTAACCTAGCTAATTCTCATGGCAACCATGTAAGTTAGGCACTAACACCCTCATTTCACCTATGAGGACACTGAAGTACACTGAGGCACCGAAGATTTGAGGCATATATCACTTGCCCAAGATTACACTTTAATGAAAGGGGCAGGAGAAAGTGGGCAATAACTTCACTACCACTCCCAGGGCATCGAATGCTCCCCAACCATCTGCATTAATCAGCTTCTATGGTAAATATTCCGCAGCTCACTGCAACTGGCTATGTGACTCTGTCAATGGTTATGTGGCAAAAGCAAGAGTTCTTGGGAGTGTTTTTTTTTTTAAGTTTTCTGACTCTACCATTTGACTATAAGCATTTATAAAACTGTGTCAAATATTTCTACTAAAATGGAGGTAAAGAACTATATTGAGTAACTTGAGTATTCACATTATAATTCAGTAGTAACTTGGATAAAATTGTTTCCAGAAGCACCTATTAGGGTTTCATCAACAAAGAGTTGGGTGACTGTATTCTCACTTTCTTTGGCAATGGGTTAATGAAACCAAGAGTGGTCTGTCACATGTAAGTATGTCACAGTCAGATAGAAATACATTAAGAATTTTTTTTCACTGATCAACAATTTACACTGATCCAATAGTATATTATTCTTCTTGTGTCTAGTTAGCCTATGTGACATCAATCCTGTCGTCTCCATGTAAACAACTGAGCTGATGGAAGACTTGCAGAAAGATATGGCCCAATATGATTCCCTGACAAGCTTTTTGGAAAGTACTCTGGATAAAAATGCAGAAAGAACTATTCTAAGTACACACAGCGACATTCTACAATTTTGAGCATTTATTTGGCCATGGAATCTACTTTTAGGTATAGACCCTGGCATAGGATGGAGTTCTTGAGAGAAAAAAAAAAAAGAGAGAGAGAGAGAGAGAATGAAATGTAACAATAACCAAGTTTCCATGCCAAAGTTTCGGAACCATTTTTTATGGTTATTATTGCTCATAGCACAACAAAATCATTTTAGAATCATCTGTCTTTTCTCTATAGATCCAAGAAAACAAATCATCATATGGGCCATAGGCAATGAGAATTTTGCTGAAATGTCAAAACATCTAAGCAACTACTTTCAGACGAAAATGGATACAAATAGGTTGGGATATCAAGCATAATATGTTAAGTTTTTAAAAAATGTTTTTTACAAAAGCAATATGGATCATTGTAAGTATGTTTAGAAAATGTAGGTAATAAAAAATCACTATTAACATTTCAACAAAACAATTCCAAATCCATGTAAGACATGCACATGACAAAAATAGAATTATATTTAGCATATTATTGTGAAACCTGTTTTATTAACATAATATTTACCCATGTAATTAAGGTTCTTAACTTTTAATATAATTAAGGGTTATTTTCTGCTACATCATTTTGAATGGTTGCATAATATCCTGTCACATATGTAATTGGTCTCCTACTGCTGGACCACGTAGGAAGCTTCCATTTTTTATTTTACATTTTATAAACATTACTACAATGAGAATCTTTATGTGAAATAAAATCACATGGCTAAGCAATATAAAATATTTGACCTATGACCTTACAACATTGGGTATTATAATTTTAATTTAAAAGATTCTTAACTTTTTTTACACATGGAAAAAGATACCTGCTTTAGCAAACATTTTAGGAATTATAAAACTTAACATTGCCTATCTTTATAATTATGGATTATTTGGTTAGATCTTTCTGAGAATCTACTTTTTAATTTCCAAAAATGTAAACTTCTCTTACCTTTTACTGGAGATATTTCTACCTCATCAACTGATATCAGCTGAATGGTGAAACGTCTGTCCTCTTCCAACACGGAGTCTTGAAGTGTGTGCAGTACAATGGTCTTCTGGGACTCAGTCTACACCAAATGACAGAAACAATAAATTTTCTAGATTAAACAAAGCCAAATGTTGAATGTTCTCATTAGCAGAATAATATTTATGAGTGTTTAATGTGAGTGTGTCTATCCTTTTTGTCACACAAAGAGTGTTGCACCTAGAAAGAATTACTATATAAAAATCAGCTGTGATTATACATTTCATTTAGGTTTTTCTATGGGGAAAATGGGAAAAAAATGTAACACAACCCCTAAATTTACTAACACTTTTTAACCACTGAAAATTCAGTCCTTAAAGAGAGCTAAATAGTCAAACTATGATATAAAAAAGCAATGGTCACAAGTGTAATATTTATGGAAACAGCTTCATTCCAAGGAGAAAACAGGTATAAATGACCTTAGATCACAATTTAGATGCAATCAGCAAGTCTTGAGATGCCAGTTGGTGTTTATCATCACTGGACATCCAACATTCAATTCATGGTGTGTTCTGCCCATGTTAAGTCAGCAATGGCACTTCCTAGCTAACAAAAGTATACAAAGGCATCAATAAAGGATCTACTTCATAAGAAAATGCCTTCCTTCCATCCAGAGACCTGGTGTTGTACAGATACATTTCAGTCTCCCTTTACCTTCACCTTTAAGATTTTGTTTTTCTTTGTTTTCATATAGGTCTCACTTGTTTTGGGCTGAATTTATTCCTAGTTATTTTATATGTTTTTCCTACTTGCATTTTTCTCATTTCTGCTAAATCATAAGACTGTCATTGATTTTATTCTTCATTAATTTTTTTCTTGGATCTCGGATACATAGTTTGAGTTGACCGTACCTCTGACTAGCATTGTCTCCAATGAACTACAGATGATCTTTTATTTGTATTTATTCTTTTGTTCCCTTTATCTGCTCATTTCAATTTCATTCTTCAAAATTCTCTCCACCCTGTCACTCACTCTAAAATGCACTGTGTCAGCCTCCTAATTTTTTCTCTCAATCAACACTGTTCAGTTTAATCATGTTTCTGTATGCAGATTTAATTTATTCTTTCCATTGCTGTGGGTAGTCCACTGCTTGCATTTATGCTATATGCAGTATTTAACAATGGTTATCTACGATTACAATTAATATTGCCATGAACACTGTATATACTTCTTTGTAAGCACAGCAATTTTTCCAAGGTGCTATTGATTTTATATGCAATAGACAATCATTCTTTTTTTTTTTTTTTTTTTTGAGTTGGGGTTTCACTCTGTTGCCCAGGCTGGAATACAGTGGCATGATCACAGCTCACTGCAGCCACGACCTCCTGGGCTTAGGTGATCCTTCCACCTCAGCCTTCCGTGTCTCGCTGGGACTTCAGGTACTAACACATCCAGCTTTTTTTTTTTTTTTAGACATGAGGTCTCACTATGTTGCCTAGGTTGATCTCAAATTTCTAGGTTCAAGCAATCCTCCTGCCTTGGCCTCCCAAAATGATGGGATTACAGGTGTCAGCCACCACATCTGGCCTCTCGTTGTTCTTGGATTCCCTATTTGCAAATTTTTCTACTCATCCAAATTAATTTGTCAACTTAAAATTAATACTTGGGCATTTTTGTGGTAATTTGGAGACGTGAATATTGGCAAAAAAGTAGTGTCATTCTAACATTTCTCATGCTACATAAGCACTGTAGCTCAGCCCTGAATGAAGCTTATCTGACATACATATTTTCTCTAGGGCCACATCACAGCCTTCTTGTGCTTAGGAACACCAGATTTCAGCACTGAACTTAGAAGCCATCTCGAACAGTAAAATCTTCAACAAAAAGCACAAAAATGAAAAAGTGACACAAAATAGACTGCAAAAAAGGACACTCTTTACCGTATGAGAGCTGAAGCAAAAAGGCAAGAAGTTGCCTTGTCTAACCTCACCTGCAAATGTGCAAATTGGACAAGTCAAATTTTTTCACCACTCTTTGAGTGGCCCAAATGACCATGAAAACACCAGGAGTACTTGGGAGATTACAAATAAATTTTAGTGAGTAGGTTAATTCACAAAAGTGGAATTGTAAATATTAAGAATTGATTGTACCATGAATCACAAGAATCGACTGTATGTTAAGCGTTTATATTGCCCTCCACCTCACCACTAATGTGTAAGTCAGCTTTTTATATCATATGATCCTCATGTCTCAAAGAAATATGCAGTCAATAATAAGGAAAAAAGGGTGATTGCAGGTGACATTTCTCAGCTCATGGTTACAAAAGATAGTAATAAATGTTCGGGGATTTAAAAGGTGATGGGGAAATTTCATAGAGGAATAAATTCAGGAAATGACTTCTATTAGAGATTCAAAATGAACGTAAGTATATTAAAGTATCTGAAAATCCTGCAAAAGGAAAACCTACTTAGAGCAATCAAAGTTTCCCCAAATCTATTTGAACGCAGAAACGTGGTTTTTTTTCCCCTTTAAAATCTAGAACAATTATTACTATTCTGCTGAAAAGTTGTGCAGAGTGGAAAACGCAGTGCAGCAGTTTGGAAAATGCCACCATAAGATATCTCAGAAAATAGAAATAGAAATTGTTCCCTAGGTTTTTGAAATTTAAAGCCCTTAATTTTTTAATCATACAACATAGAAAAGGAGTTGAGCATGGCTATACTAAGTTGAGGCTGCAACCTGCTATTAGAATGTTTCTAAATGACAGCTATTGTATAAAGCCCTTGCTAAGTGTTGGGAAGTTGGTTAGTCTCTTCACAAACATGATTTCATATAATCTTCACAGCTCTTGCTCAGGTTAAGCATTATTATTCTCATTTTGCCACTAGGAAACCAAATGTGAGAGCAATTAATTAATTTTCCTAAAGTCGTGTGGTATTAAATGGTAGAGTGAAGATTTGAATTAAGGTCTAGCTAGCTGTAACATCTATATCCTTTGTACTTTTCAGCGGCTACCGCCAGTATCACAGGAGAATCAAGATTGGGTAGAAAGAAGATGAAAATGATGCCAATATAGGTGTCAGAAGACTGCAATAGTATTCAAAACGCTCCAGAAGAGGGGGCTAGAGAGAAAGGAACACAAAGCAAGAAATGTAAATCCCTGAGAGAAGAATATCAGAACTATGAAAGCCACTGCAAAATAGTTTCATCAGCTCACGGAGAACCACTCACAGTTTCAAATACCGAGGGGAATCTTCACAGTGGGAAACATGTAATCAATTTTTCAATGGAATGGAGTTTGACTAGTATGAAAAGCAAACGTTTGAGATAAATTGTAAAGTAGAAAAAGTAAGTTAGTAACAAGCCTGCAGAGTAAAATTCTATTTGTGTAAGATTGCAATGCACATGCTTAAACACACAAAAGGAAGATTTGAAAGTATATATAAGAAACTGCCAATAGTGGCTACCTCTGAGAAGTAGGAATACAAGATCCAAGGGGGTTCAGACAAATTTTATTTGTGTATTGTCTGAGGCTTTTAGCATGAGCACATATATTTTTTATAACAAACTAAAACATAAGATGGAGGAAAGAGACATCTGAGTTAAGCGGGCAGCAGACTAGTTTGGTAAGTTGTGCCTTCTTCAAATGCACATGTAAATACCATAAAGGGCCTGGACGGACAATAAAAGAAACTAAAGTTTTAAAAAATATTTCTAAAATTTTGGTAGAATTTTCACTAATGGAGGAATCCACTTAGAGTAGACTAGACGGCACATACACATTCCATGCCATGAACTTACATATCAAAAAAGAAACACAGACGGGGGAAGGACCCATTTCCTGACTTCTCTGAACTGTAGGGCAGAAACTGCACTGATCAAGACTAACTGCCTGCTACCCACCTCAGAAATGTCGTGTCCCCACTCTTATCAGCCCTTCCCTCTTTACATTAATTCTGAGGCTCCAATTCACAGTAAAAGGAATGGGAGTGATATCCTCCATCCCAGGAGTTAAGAGATTTTTCATGAATACATTTACTAAGGTCTCAGTCAGGAAGTACAAATTCTTCTAGAAGTCTTTATAAAAAGACAATGTAAATGCATATATTGTAAAATAGCAATAAGGAACTATGAAATGAGAACAGCTTCAGTGAAGACATGAAAATAATACTACTTAATAAAAATCTCAAAAGAAATTTATTTGCAAAACTAAAATGTTCAGTAGGAACTACATACAGTCGCATATATTGCAAAAAACGTAATCAGTGGTGCACAGAACAAATCGGAGTTGTTTTAAAATGCAGAAGAAAAGCTGGAGATAAAAACAATACGTGTCACGGTTACATCTGCAAGGATTAATGTAATTGCTGTCGATACATTTTCTTCCCTCTATTCTTTCTCTCCCCAAGGACCATTTTACTTCTACCAGCTTACACTGAAAACTTAACAAGGTTTCTAGAAGTTACTGAGCCAAGGACTTAGACAAGAGAGGACTGAAATAATACTGAGTCTTTTGGGATCAGCACCTACAGAACGGGAAGGAGCAATAATGGGTAGAGGACAACCCAAAGTGGGCAGTGAAAAGATGATGTTTTTTCGGAAAAGACCAAGCAAAAGAGCATTTCCCTTGAGTGTGGCGCTACCCCAGATCTCTGTGGAGGATGCTCTGGTATTCACCAAGATCGCCATTCAGGAAAGGACTCACAAGCCCGGCTGCTGGGAGTGTTTACAGCAGCTATCTCTCACCCACCAGGCTCCTTATGAAATCGCCTCTTCTGAAGAAAGTCTGATTCTGCAAGGACAAATGTGCCCCTGGCATGGTCCACATGCAATGAGGACATGCTCAACACAAGATTATAAAAACTCATCCTTACTCTAACTCAGACAGCTCTGCCAGACAAACTGTAGTGTACTGTAGTGTCAGCATAAATGGCATCTTGGCTTGCCTTCATACCCGCCCACTCCTGCTTCTTTAACTTACACAGATGTTGATCTCAAGTACACTCCCTAAAAAGTCTCCCCACACAAAATCTCCATCTCATAATCTTCTACCAAGGGAAGATAAAATATAATATTCACACTGATTTATCACCTGTTCATCAGTCCTGGAGACATGTATATTTCTATAAACATAGAACATGGATCTTAGATGGCCTGCATGCAAACAAAAATAGGAAGAACTTCATCTTGTTACCAAGGTAGGATTGAACAGGATAACTGTGAGAGTTTCCTTCAGTGGGGCAATGGTGACCTCACAGTCACTGTGATGGTCTAAAGCAGTCCAGAAAACTATTATACAGTAAACCCTGGTACAACTTGGAATGTATCCTAGACATCACAGCTTTTGTAGACTATTTTGTATATTATTGCCAAAGTGGACCACTGAATTGCCATGAGAATGATTGGCAGGAACAGTATCTACCTGAGCAGTATTGCTGAAGGACCACCACTAGCCATGAGAAGAGCTGGGAGAAGACTAGAGACATCATCAAAGTGAAATCAGAGCCTCTGGATACAGGGATACCTCAGATCTGGATACAGAAAAACAACAGAGCTGTTGCAGTTGATATGAAATGTAACAGGTTGGTGACCAAGCAAGGAGATGGAGAGGATGGAATCCAGGGACAAATTGTTCATCCTGATGAGTCCTCTAAGAAAGATGGCCTTATTCACTGGGGAAAAAGATCAGAGTAGTTACCTTTTTGGTGTAGATCAAAACCAGAGAAAACTTTCTAATTGCCTGAGAAGTGGATCTAGCAATGAGAATCTGGTAACTAAGAAATTCTTGTTCATTATTACTGATTCTTTACAGAAATTTGAGACTAATTTGTAAACTCTAAATTTTTCTCATGCCAAGTTTTCTTAGCAGGGCTAGGATACAGATGTTTCTTGAGTCATCATATATTAGAATCTGAGAAATAAAATGACATATCTGCACCATCTGGCTTGAGATTTAATGCCGTCAGAGTGATCTACACCTCAAGAATGATGCTTCATCTACATAGTAGATAGAATGCCAGCATCACTGATTAATTCCTTAATCACATAGAAAAGTAATCACAGACCATGACCATGTGGCATGTCTGGAGGAATTTCTTTGAGAAACCACTTAGGAAGATTCTATTTTAAAAATTTGTTTAATGGAAATTCATATATTTACACTTTATTTTTTGTTGTTGTTGGTTTTGTTTGTTTTTCTGAGTTGCTCTGTTGCCCAGGCAGGAGTGCAGTGGCATAATCATATCTCACCACAACCTTGATCTCTGAGGTTCAAACAATTCTTCTGCCTCAGATTTCCAAGAGGCTGGAACTACAGCTGAATGTCAACACGACTAGCTAATTTCTTTCCTTTCCTTCCTTTTTTTGTAGAGATGAGGTTTCGCTTTCTTGCACAGTCTAGTCTCGGACATCTGAGATCAAGTGATCCTCCCACCTCAGCCTCTCAAAGTGCTGGTATTACAGTCATGAGCCACCACATCTGGCCTGTTTAGAGTTTGTTTCTATGTCTGCTGTATATCTACTAGAGCCAGTCTCACACAACCTTTTTTTTTTTTTTTGAGTTGGAGTCTCACTCTATTGCCCAGACTGGGAGTGCAG